CGGGCGCGCCCCTCGGCCCGCACCCACCGGTGATGGCGGTGAACTGCTGCACCAGCGCCCTCAGCGCCGCGGCGCCCGCCGAGCCCCCGGACGCCGCCATCTTGCGCCGCCGCCGCCGCAACACAACACACGCGCCGCCGGCCGGCGCGCGCTGCGCATGCGCGGGGCCCGCCCGCCCGCGCGCCCCTTCCCTCCCTGGCCCGCGCCGCCCCGGGAGGAAGGCGGGAGGGGCGGAGGGGGCGTGGCCGAGGTTGCCGTGGTGACGAGCACCGCCCCCCACGGCCGCGCGGGAGGCGGGAGTTGCCGTGGCAACGCCGCCCGCTCTCCCCCGGCGGCGCCTCAGCGGCTTTCCCGAGGGATCCTCCCCGGCATTCCCGGCCCGCCGCTTCCCACGGCCTGACGCGACGGGCACGTGCCGGAGCGGCCCCCTCAGCACGCGAGGCCGGGGGGGCCGACGCTGATTTACCCCGTCACAAAGGGTTTACCCCACGCAGGCCTCGAGGCCGCGTGTGGAGCGGGTCCAGGTGCTGCGAGGGGGGAGACACCGGGAATAGCCCCGAACACCGGTACGGGCTGGGGGGACCTGCTGGAGAGCAGCGCTGCGGTGAAGGGCCTGGGGGACCACAAGCTGTCCCTGAGCCAGCTGAATGTCCTGGGGGCCGAGAGGCCGATAGGATCCTGGGGGACGTCAGGAAGAGCATTGGCAGCAGGTCAGGGAGGGAATCCTGCCCCTCTGCCCAGCACTGTGAGGCACAGCTGGAATCCAGCTCTGGGCTCCTTATCACAGGATGGACATGGAGCCCCTGGAGCAGGTCCAGTGGTGGCTACAGAGATGCTGAAGGGACTGGAGCATCTCTGGGAGCAGGAAAGGCTGAGGGAGCTGGGGCTCTTCAGCTTCCAGGAGACACTGAGAGGGGCCCTCATCCATGTGTGTGGGTGTCCAGGGAGGGGCAGGGGTTGGACCAGGCTCTGCTTGGGGGGGGCCCAGCAGTAGGACAAGAGGTGTTACTGCAAATTGGCAACAAGAAACCCCTAAAACTCAAGCCCCTGGGTTTGTCCCCACCCACTGTGCCGGGTGTTTCTGATGCCGAGGCCGCCTGCAGAAGTGGCAGAAAAGGAGGGTTTTACTCGTTTCAGCAGTTTCCCTGCACAGCAGGAACGTGGCTGGCGTGCTGCCAGCAGGCTGGAGTGCTGCTGAGCACCCAGCCAGTAACACTTGTCAGCTACAGTGAGCACCACAGAAAGCTGAGGTTTCTTTAGAATGCTAGTAATTTAATATCTCTCTGCCATGAAAACAGGTACATGTGCTCCCTCTCTTATGCCCTCATTGCCTCCCACCCCCTCAAGCAAGCGACCAAGCCTGTAATGTATCGGCTTTTTTGGGCAGATACTTGTTTTGTTTTTCTTGGCAGTTGTGTGGAGCTGAACTTGGTTCACAAACAGGACACGTGAATCACCAGAGCTGAAGGCAGGTGAACTCACCCTTCTGAGGAGCAGTGAACCCTTACACCAGCCCAGACATCCCAAACACAGACTCCTGCTTCACAAACACCAGTAAAACAAAGCTCATTTCACCTGCTTCAGAGCTCCTGGATCACAGGGACAGACACAAGCTGTTGGTACAACCAAAATCCACTCAGCAGTGGCCAAATTCCACCCTCTCACAATAAAGATCTAAAAGGACAGGCTGAATTGTGTCTGGTGAGGATTACTGTGCCGTGTGTGTGCTGAGGAATGGGATCATTTGGGGGGGACCCGAGGGCTGGCAGTCCCCCACCTCAGATGGGGCTGCTGCTGTAGGTGACAGGTTTAGGTCATTTTGCAGTTAAGGATGGGGTTTATCTAACAATCAGTTTGTAGCCCCCTTGTTTTTTTCTTTCATTCTGCTTACAAAAATAACAAGTCATGTAAGAGCCCATTCTGACACTGAAAGACAAAATTCAGCGAGCTGGAAAAACACAAATATCCCCCAAATCCTTTAACACACCCTCCAGTATATACACACACCAAAACCCACTTGTGAGCTATTTAGACCTTTGAAGTGGCAAATTTTGTAATTTTTTTAGTGATTTCCAAAGGAGTCACAGCAGCAGGATTTGCTGTTGCTGGTGAGGAAGTCTGTGGGAGCACCTTCCTTACTAAACTTCTTACTGGGAGTAGTTCAGTGCATGTCACAAGTCTTATATGGAAGAGGCATAATCACACATTAAAAGGGAAAAGAAAGAATCCATGGAACAGCTGGTGGAGGAAAAGGGAATGAGGCTGGTGTGAAATGCAGCAATCCACATATTGGGATGTGGCTTCAAGCCACTTGCACAAAGCACAGTGCTGCCAGAAAGGGAAATTCTCCCTTCTCCCTCACCCTTCTCCACCCCTAATGTTTCTCCTACCCCTTTAACGTGTGGAATTAAATTGTGAGGAGTCCCCAAGTGCCCAAGCTGGTACTTGGGCATAAACTTAGGGTTTGGGCAGCAAATAAGCTCTTTCTCCTCATCTGCTTTGAAAATGGAGTTTATTTTTTACAGGCTTATCCTGACTGGAAAGGCCAAGGGTCCCAGCATGGAAACAGCCAGTGGCTCTGCCTTAAAGAACACTTGAATTAATGAAGGGATATATTTGTTCCTGTTGAACAGAAAAACAACCTCGACTCAGGTCAGGATTAAAGAGAACCAGATCCATCTTGAAGGAAGGCTTCCAGCACAATGGCTGAGGCAGCAGGAGGAAAAGAGAAGGATTTGCAGCAGGTCATCTTTTGTAACTGTCTCAAAAAACATCTCAGACCAGACCATTTATTTATGAGAAGCCCACCATTGATAGAGACATACAGGCAGAGGGAAACAAAAAACCCAACAAGTCAGAGTTTTGGCTCGGTGTGCCTCTCGTGCTTTCCATAAAATTTGGGCTTTCTTAAAAATTAAACCATCAGAAGATACTGATTTGAAGTATTTTGTTACAAATTTCCCAAAACAGAATTAAAGTCATCAGTGGGGTTCAAAAAAATGGACAAATCTCAAACAATTGCTGACTTTGGTGACTAACACCCTTCAGGACTTACAGATGGTGCTTGGCTCCATTTTAAACATGAACAGTGCAAAAATAGCTCCAAAGAAGCAAAGAAAAGCCAAAATATGGCTTCATAAAACAACAGATAAAACAATTGGCAAGAAAACTTCCTCTGTGGAGCAGGACCTGGTCATCTCTTCACCAGCCTCAACTTCCTACAGGCCTCAGCACCCCCAGCTCTAAATTACAATTTATTTTAAGTTCTTTTAGTTTTAAACCCAATGGGAACAGTATTTGGTAGTGCCTCTAATAATGGAGGGGAACAGTTACAGCCAGGCAGGGCAGTTATGTGAATCTTTAATTGCAGTTACATCATTACTGACAACTTCAGTTTTCAGTTGCTTTTCCCCTTTTGGTTTAACTTTCTCCATCATAACTGGCTTCTGGACTGGGTTTTTTTTTAATATTATGTGGTTTTAATCAGACTTAAACCAGTTTGAGTATGAAAATTAAACGGCACCAAATACAGGTAACACTATTATAGAACAATAAAGTTGCAGAACATTAGCAGTAAGAAATCAAAAGTATGGTATTCTTAACAATAAGGAAAATGGGATCTGCAGGAGGGACCTCTCTGAATAGAGGTGAATACAAGCCCAAAACCTTGGCATCCGTGAAAGATCCTTGGCTTTGGCAGTGGAAGAATGACCTGTTTCTTCCCTCTTTATCCAAGGGAGGGGCTGGCATATGAGAAGGAAAGAGTGGCTGTCTGGTTCCACTTGTGTAAACGGGCTGCAATTCCAGAAACAGCCAAAATTTCAGTGACATGCTTCAATTTACAGAGCAGTGGTTGTGCTGAGGGTTGAACCTTGCAGCTGGCAGCCAGCTGGGAATACAGACTCGTTCTTTCCTTGCTTCCTCCACGGAATGTGCATCCTTTCCATAAAAGACTCTGGATTCTCATTTTAAATTATCCTTGGTTTTGAACACTACGGGTATTCACATTCCAAACCATGTAAACCCAAGCGCTAGCAAATGAGAAATGCCGTGAGTCCTGCAAGAAGTGCTGCAAGTGCTAGAAAATAACATTCAGGAGAAGGGCAATTAAGAAATGTTCAAGTCTGGGGGTGTACACTGCTAAAACTCAGAACTCACAACACCGCTGCCTAAAGCCATTCCTCTCCAAACCAACAACTCGGAACTGCTTAAGGAAGCTTTGCCTAACGCGGGAGAACATCCCCACGGTTCCTATTCCCAGTCCACCACGTGTCCGTGGCTCTGCTGATCTACTCTGCAACAGGGCCTTTAAACATCTGCAGGATCGTCTTTTGCTTGTTCTTAGGCAGTGAGCAAATATCATTTTTGTCACTGGTATTGACCACACAATTCAAAACCTTTCCCTCCTTGATGCCGGGGGATTTCACCCGGACCTTGGCAGGGGACTGCCAGTTTTCATTGCAGGAACCTTTCCGAGTCTTGTAGTGATTGGTTTCAGCCTGTTTTTTTGATCCCTTGGAGTCTTTGGCCACCTTGCAACTTCCCTTTTTGGCAGCAGAGTCTTTCAGAGACTGAGGTGGTTTGGTGCGAAGCAGATACTCGTCTGGAGAACCCTTCTGCCGGTTGAGTGTCCTTTCCTCCTTGTCCAGCTCCTTTTGTAGCTGCAGAGCCAGGAGCCTGTCCTGCTCCTCCTGCCTACGCCTTTCATAGAACTCCTGCTCAAAGGCTCTTTGTGTTTGCAAGTTGAAATCATTAATCTGCACCCCTTCGTCTTCCACGCTTTCTGAACAGGTTCTTCTCCTCTTGTCAAGCACCCCTGAGTCAGTCATGGCATCAGCTGGGGCCTCCAGCAGCTTCCTTTTGGGAGTTTCCTTAGTGTTCTCCAGCCCCTCTGGTTCATTTTCATCCGAGTGTGCAGCCACCTTCCCCAGATCACATCCTGCACTCTGCCTGTCAGACATCACGGAATTCATCCCTGACTGAACAGAGGTACAAGTTTGAGGAGAGTTTTCAAAGTTTATGCTTTCTACACGTGTTAAACTGCCACTGTTTGTCTCAATTTCATCATCTTTTCCTTTGGATCTACAAAGAGCTGTTCCAGACCCCTCCCCTTCTGTGGCTCCATGAAGTGCACCTGGAACTCCATCTCCTAAACAATTTGGTCCTGGTGTTTTTTCCTGGTTGACAGTAGTGGTTTCACCTGAAGCTGAGGCACTGAAATAGTTCATGCATGATTCCAAAAACGAATCCTTAGCATCAGAATCTTTATTTACACTGGTCAGCTGTGGAGACAGGGTCGGCATTTTTTCTTGCTCATCCTGCAATGCAGAACAGCTGCCTTCATTGCTCTTGGTCTCCTGAAGAACAGGGAGAGACCACCAAGAAAGTAAATTTATTAAAAGCCCAAGGGTGTGAATAAATGCCAATCTCACTTCTCACAGCTGCGCTGCCCCAAACTGCTCTGGGAGAGCAACTTGGATACTTCTCTTTTTAAAAATTACCTAATTGTTTAATAATCATGAAAATATTTAAAACAACTCCAGAAGCCCAGCTAAAAGGACTGAAACCACAACTGCAGCACTTTCCTCTTATCAGTGACTCAAACCAACCCTTCAGGCCTGCTCACGTTCTTTTGAGGCCTCCCAGGAATGATCAGACAGACAGACAGACAGGGAAAGATGTAAATCAGGGTGCGCCCCCCTCCAGTAAGCTCCAGAACTGGGAATTATGGATATTGAGGGTAGCCTAAAAAGGCTGAGATAACCTGCCCAGCACTGATGGGCAAGGGGAATAGAGGATGGAATGCTACAGGCAAAGGGAAAATATCCCGTAACTACCAACACTGAGATTCATAACAAAATGATTCCAGTTACCACTGAGCCAGAGCTGCTCCTGCTTCTTCCTGTGGTGCTACAGAACGATGCTGGTCCCAACGTACCATGATGCTTCGGAGACAGGTACCTTAAAGGAAAGAAAAAAAGTACACCCTTTTACACAATTTTTCCTTGAATTGTCAGCCCTTTGCATTAATCAAGATCTTCAGGTTCATTCTGACAAACCAAAACAACAAAAAGGGCGTTTCCCTTCTTCTCATATGAGGAGATATTGTAACCTTCAACACTTCACACATTTGTCCTCGAGTATCCAGGGAAGTTGCCCTGCAGGATTCCAAGGAAGCAAATGGAGCAGAGGGACACTATACGAAGAAACAGATCAATAATTCAATTCAAGAAACACTTGAATCACTTACTTCTGAATGTCTCCAGTGTTGCTTGGTTTGTTCTTTGCCTTGCACAAGTGTGCCGGGGATGTTTGAGGCGAGAGGCTGTGTGCTGGTGACAGGCTGCTGAGCACGTGTCCCTCAGAATCCTCATTCTTCCATGGCAAGTAAAAACAGTGTTATATAAAACAAAACACAACACAGACCAGAGAAACCCCCAGAGAACTACTTTGGTTTTGCTGCACAATTAGTTATTTTTGCCCAAAGAATTCTAGAACTGTAAGTAACAGATAGTTATGGAATAAGAAATGCTACACGTTCCATAACCTTTCCTGGATCTAGTATTGAGGGACAGGAGGATTTGCTCAAATAAGTACACAGCTTTCCTCACTGGGTAGAAAAACTCCAACTGACCAAAACAAATTAATAAAACAAAAAAACCCCCAAAAGATAAGGTAAATTTTTGCTGTGTGTTCCTTTTTTCCAGTACAGGTTACAGACATTATTTTCTTCCCAAAGAAGAATTTTTAAAATCATGGGGAAAAGGAAGTTTTCAGGAGAAAAACAATGTTTTAAAATGTTTCACAATGAAAACATGCAGCACACGTGCTGGATGCTGGATTTCAAGTGTGTATTACACAGGCAGAAATGTTTGGGGTATTTGACCCTCCCGCTGTTTTTTCAAAAATTAATGGTCAACCAAGGCTCTGAAGTACTGGGGGCTGACAACAGCTTCCAACTACAACTAAAATAAACGCAAATTATTCCAAATTTTAGCTTTATCTCTGAGAAGTTGCTGGCACTGTATCACTGTTTTCTGCTGTTCCCCCTTGACCCCAACTCACCAGACTGTTACTGAGCTGCCAGGCCAGCTCTTCATCTTGTTTCAGCTGTTTCTCCATCTCCCTCCGCCTCTGTTCTGCCAACCTGTTCTCCTCCTCCTCCTCTGCCAGCAGCCGCTGGATGAATTCCTCGCTCGCCTTGTTCTCCTCCTGTTCGTGCGCTCGCCTCTCGGCCTCCACCTACGACAGACAAAACCCACCTGGTTACAGCTGCAGGACCACACTTGGCACCAGAACCTCTGAGCTGACGCTCTTTAAATGCGAACCACCCGCTGTTCACAAAAACTAGAACCAGCATTTAACTGCAAAGGTGTAAATCATCCTGATACCGTGTGCAGAGCCTTGGGTTTGACCACAGCCTTCTGGTTTCTGCCAGATTACACCATTAGTCTTGCTCACCTGCAAGGTTAAACTCCATTCCTCACCTTTTCACACAAAAACTAAGACCTCCAATACATGGATCTACAGAGAAACTGGGATTAAGATTCTTTCTAAGGCTGGATGGCAGCTATCCCACAGCGTTTGCTCAACTTGCTTATGTCATTATATCATCCCATACCCCAGTGACAGCACATCTCTCTTCTAGAAGACTCCTGCTCTCCTGAAATGCACAAAACCCAAAGGAGCAGGCCAAGAATTTTGCATCTGCCTTCCTTACGGCAGATACCCACTGAGAGATCAGTTACCAACAACTCCACGAGGGCAGCAAAGTACTTCAAGACTGAATAAATCTTTCTTTACCGCGTAAGGGAATTTGGAAATTACCTCCAGTCCTCTGCTTCACACACTCCCCCTGCTCCTGTAACCACCAGCAAGGGGCTGTCAGGGAAAGGAGCATTCTTGCATATTTTCCAACTATAAATCTTAATACTAGTGTGTCCGAATTGGAAGAGGGATCCTTAAATAGGCAAAACTGAAACTACTTAAAAATATTTTCTTCTCGTTTTCAAATGACTGGAGGTAACAGAATAAGAAGAAAGAAAACGCTGTGTTCATCCAATTGTGGTCTGCAAGGCAAGCATAAAACCAAAGCCCAAACAGTTCCAAATTTTTACATTTGCTACTTTTAAGTGCATTGACTGAGAGGTGAGGTGGGAGGTACAGATCAAGAAAACTTGAGAAATGTCACCTTGTGACAAACATAAGGAAATCTCTCTTCTTCCATAAATTTAATCCATCCTTCAGGAGTGACCAGTATGTTCTTGCAGTTGCAATGAGCTTTTAAGTATCTTTATCACTAAATACCATAACAGCTGTTTGTGGGAACAATTCATATAACTGGGAGCAATTCAAGTTACCGGATCCAAAGTATTTTTACTTTTAAATGTATTTTTAGACTTACCTTGCTAATCTCTGCTTCATACTCCTGCCTCAGCTCCCCAGGCTTGCTTAGCCGGTGCTGTGGTTTGGGGACACAGACTAATAGACAGGAAAAAACCAAAGTAAGGAACAAAGCAAGATCATGACAGTCAGCAACTATTTTAACAACAGATGACTTCCACACCCTGTCACAGGAATGATTTGACTGAAATCAAGTGCTGTGATAAAAAAAAAATAAAAGCACTTTGTGTTACAAAGTAACACAGTAGAAAAGCGCAGTGTCACAGAGTGGCAGGAACAGGCTGTGATTTCCAAGCACTGTATATAAAGTAAATCTGACGGAATAGGTTGCCCAGAGGAGCTGCGGCTGCCCCATCCCTGGAAGTGTTCAAGGCCAGGTTGGATGGGGCTTGGAGCAATGTGGGATAGTGGAAGGTGTTCCTGCTCATGGCAGGGGGTGGAATGAGATGAGCTTTAAGGTCCCTCCCAACCCAAACCACTCCATGATTCATTCTGTGTTGGTACACTGACCGTAACATGTGTTTTTCACTCGTTGTGATTAAAAAGACCTCATAACACTGCACGTGGAACAAGGTGCCATAGAGCCAACCTACCAACAAGTCTCCCCCAAGGGAGCTTGCAATGTAATAAACCCCAAAAGGCTTCTTCAAAAAGTCAATCAGATTTCACTTCCTTCTCTCTGACACTACAATTTCAGGCTCAAACACTCTTGCATTGACCAAACTCCTGGAATCTCTAACCAAACTAATAGACTTAAAAAACTTCTAACCACTTCACTTACTTGACAGTGATAAAGAAACACACCCGCACACCCAAACACTGCTTGCAGAGACTACAGCTGAAAATGAGCAATAAAACCTGGTGCTTTTGCAAGGCCAGGCAGCTACACACTAGAACTTTGTGCCAAAGGCATGAACAAATACCCACTGCCATGACCTGACAATATCATTTTTACTCTCTGTGCTACAAATGAAAGAGGCACTGCCCAACTCTTCCCTGCCCCTTTCACAGGAGAGCTCTGCCTCTGCCTTGCCCAGCAGTAACACACCTGCCTGCCCACAGCTCTTCATTTCCCAACATCCAAAGTCCACCCAGAGTAATTACTGTGGCAAAGCAAAGACATGCCAGGACAAGTGACATTTCACTTACTTTCCTCGTCCAAATCCTGTCCGTTAATCCTCCTCTCGCACTCCTCAGGGTAATTCTTCTGAATCTTCTCCCAGAGCTCCCAGTTGACAAGAGTATTTCTGCGGGCGTTGTACCGTGCCCAAGAAGAGACTCGACGCCGACAAAAAGGGCAAGAAAGACTGGCCTTTTCCACCGTCAGCTGGAAGCAGGAATTACAGAGGGTATGGCTGCACGGCAGCGTGACGGGCTCCACGAAGATCTCCATGCAAATTTGGCAGAGGCAGTCAGACAAGGAAAGCGGGGCCTTGGATTTCGTTGACATACTGACTCGAGGTAGAGGAACAAGACTAGGACAACATCAGGACCTGAAAGCAAAGTCAAACGCTTATGTTCCTTATGGGAAGTAAAATAAAACAGAAAATGTTTTGCAACAACTTTAAGAAAACGTTAGTGGATTTAGAAGCCTGTTTAGTGGTTGCTTTTGCTCAGGATTCTAGACAGATTCTAAACGAAGATTCAAATCTTTCCAAAATTCATGGAAAAATTGTACCAGGCTTTCCTACTGCAGTGTCCTGTGAGCTGTAACAGGTGCTTTGGGGATGGCAAGTCAGTGGTAAGGCGAGAGGGGGAAAGAAGGTGAGAGTTCTTCCAGCCACTTCTATTATTCCACTCCTCTCCCAGCACTCTCTGTCTGTGACAAGCTATGCTGGATATGTTATCCCAGTTACCTTAACCTTCCATTTGCTCAATTTTTCAGTACATCCACGTCCTTCAAAAGCTGCTTTTGGCACAGACTTGCTTCCAGCACATTCTGAAGGTGAAATACATCATCAGGGCAAAGCAGCTTCTTTCTCGTTCATTTGCTTGCATAAGCTGAGACCAAAAAGCAAAAATACTTTTTTCCTATGATAAATGACGAATTAAGACTTCAGCACCTTCTTGTATGACTTGAAACAGTGGGTATCATCTGGCTCCTCACAGGATTTTTCCACTTGGCCTCTGTGGGAGAGAAAATAAGACACATGCAGCAGAAAGAGTAAAAACACCGATTTATAAGTTACAAGCTTCTTAAACAAGCAGCCACAGGAGGTCCTTGAGAGAAAAGCTGCGATTCCCCACACAGAACTCGCCATGGCCACAAACACTCTTTAAGGCGGGTTTTACTACTTCCGCTGTTTTTTATTGATTAGAAAAATAACCCCCGGGGGCGCGGGTGCTCAGAGATAAGGGCTCTGTCCCCCGCGCCCCGGCCCCGCTCAGCCCCGGCCCCTCAGGGCTCCCGCCGAGCGCTCGGCACCCACCGCTGCGGCTCCGGGACAGGCCCCGCAATGGCGCCCGCGCCCCGCCCCTCACGGAGCCCTTCCCGCCGTCCTGCTGAGGGAGCCGGCTCCTCCTCCGCCGCCTTCTTCCCCTCCTCCGCCGCCGAGCCTGCTGGGAGGTAGAGCCCGCGGGTCCTGCTTGGGGAGGTGGGATTCCCTGTGGCGATATGACAAGTGAGGGTTAAGGGCTCCCCGCTTCCAGAGGGCGGGATGAGGCAGGACATTGGGAAGCGATCCCTCCCCGCTGCCCGGAGAAGCCGTGGTTGCCCTCGGGGGCTGGGGCCGTCCCTGGGCGCGCTCACCTGCCCTCGGTAGCCCAGGGCACATCCCGGCGCAGGTCCCGCTCCAGCACCTCGGCCTGCAGGTCGAAGCGCAGCTGGAGGCCCTGCAGGCTGCGGTCCAGAGCCGCGAACCGAGCCTCCAGGGAGTGCAGCCTGCCTTCCACCCTGAGGGGGGAACACGAGGGTGAGGGAGTTTCGGAAGCATTTGGGGCTTTCTGCCGCGGCATTGCGCTGTGGACAGCTCCAGACCCCGGGCTGTGAGAACGTACGCCACTAAAAACCAAGGTGTTTGTTTTTTTTTCTTCACACCCCTTCTTGGCCCTTTCCTGTTGTGGAGGTCTTACAACCTCTAAAAACAGCTGCAAAATCAGTGTGGACCTGTATCTGCAGGTCTCAACCATTTTCATTATTAGTGGCACAGGTTTTTTTTTCTCACGTTTTGAGGTGATTTATGTTTTTATTTGTAGTATCGTGATGTTTGGAATCATTTTTATTTGATACCTTCTCATTTCTCCTCAGAGTAAGAATGATGCAAATAATAAAAAACCCACCCGCAGTGTTTCATTCTCCCATCAGCTCGTCCTGTTCGCGTTCTCTCTTTTATAGGACTGTTCTTCCACGGAACAGCTCTGTGATAAAAACTGCTTCATAGCTGCTATTTATTAACTGCTTTTCATTACTTTGTATCTGTTGTATTTTTCCTTACTTAAAATCGTAAATTATAAGACCAAAGAAGAGGGTTTGAGTTTTGAGCTATTCTACTCCACTTTTGCTGAAGAAAACTGCCCAGTTTAAGAGAATTTGCTGCGTTTAGGGAGAAACTACAAGGCAATGCAAGTATTTATGCTTTGAGCCCATTTCTCTGCTGGAGAGACATGCTGTGCTGGGCTTCTGTCCCCCCAGGTGGTTTTTGGAAAGATAGTTTTCTCCACGTCTTCCTCTGTTATCTGATTGGCACAAGGCATGTTCTTGAGAGTCCTGAGGATCTGAAAGCTATCAAGATATAAATCCTTCAAAGTTCCTTCCTAAATACTGAACAACTGTCTCACTACTATGTAGGCAATGTGTGGTTTACTAGTAGAGCATCAGCTACTTCTTAGAGAATTTTTTGTGATTTTTCTTTCTATTTTACTGGCAGAACTTCAGACTAATATTAGCTAAACAGGAACTGCACCATTGCTAATTTTTTTACAGAGAAGACCCTGCGTTTTTTCCTTTAGCTTCTCTTTCTCCACCCCCAGTTTGCCCTACTGCTTCTGTTACTGTTATTGTATTGTTCTGATGTTCAGGGAATGGAGTTCTGAATTGTGACCTACTTGTGTTAAACACTGTATGCAGGTCTTTTGCCTTGTTTGTTGTGGCACTATTATGCGTATCTTTGGCTTTTTTTGTACAAAAATACACAGCAGCTTTCAGGTGGTGACGTTAAAAAATAAAAAACCCAAACAAAACAAAGCCCTCCAAACAAGCAGAAATTAATTTTATACTCTATGAACAGCAGATTAGATAATTTACCCGTAGTTTTCCATTCTTTCACAAGTACTCCAAGGTATTTTAAAGCCAGTTGTTATAAGAGAAGGACCAAGAATGCCATTTTTTCCCTAACAGTAGTTCCCCATTTCCCTGCCTGCCTCTTCTCCTGCCACTCCTTCTCCAAGGCCTACTTTGGGTTCTGTCTGCAGTTGACCTGAGTGACTAAAAAATAAAAAGGCATCAACCGTGGCACATTTTACTAAGTACCCCAGACCTTAATTCATTGTCTGGCCACTTGAGCAGATCTTCGTCTAAGGATTTTCTGTTGTTTCCTGAGGCTACGAGACTTCCTCTGCAGCCCGGAGAAAGCTCATCTTCCTGCGGCAGGACTCCTCTTGCCTCAGCAAGAATCTGGGGACTAAACCAGAACTTCAGTCGGAAAATTGAGTTTGTGTGATGTACAAATGCAGAGTTGAGAAGAATTGGAAGGGTTGATGTGTCATAACGGGATCGAGTCCCTCAGCACAGAGAGAGCAAGTGGATAAACTGAGGTGTGAATGAGTTTTAGACAGGGAGGTGTCAGAAAATTAGTGTCCTGGGGGAGATACTCCCGGTGAATTGCTCCCTGTTTTGCACTTTTTATCATGGTAAATAAGCTTCCTCGAGGCCCACTCTCGGCCTTTCTCCTCTACAAATAAAGTTATCGAAGATCTCATCGCTCATGCTGTCAGTGCAGTAGTTTGTTTCTCAGCAGCCTTTTAGTCCAATGCTTTAGCAGTTGACCATTTTTGTCTCTCCAGCACGTTTTTGGGGGGTATATTGCCCGTCTGTAAATTAATCTTATGTATCTTTAACCACTTGCAACAAACATTTCAGCATTTGCTAATTTGGCGTCTAAAAACATCAGTTACACCACGGTAGAGCCCATCTCCTACAGCTTTTAGTGAATTCTGATACACTCAGTGCTGCTGCCTCCTGATCCAAGTTTAGAACAAAACGAGGAAGGACAGATTAAACCTCCTGCTTTCATTTCAATCATGACCTCTGAACACTTTTCCTTTAGTGTGAGTGAAGTTACCACTGAGTCAGTGACCTCTGACTCTGGCTAGTGTACACACAAACCACATCCCCATTCTTTACCAGAAAGCTATTTAAAATTCCCCTCTCTCCTTAGCACACAGAACATACTTGGAAGCTCTGCAGTAAAAGCACCAGCATTCCCACTTCTCTGAAAGTGTGGTTGTATGGGTAACCTTATTTCTGCTATTCAGGCATTTACAGAAAATGACATTTTAGAGCTGTCACGTGGGTTTTATTTTCCAGGCCAGTGCAGCCTCCAAGCTCTCCCTGTTCACTTACTCACTTAGACACTTCTTCAATAAGTTTACCATGGATCTAATTTTCACTTTTTTCTTTCAGGAGTAGTTCCAGTGTTTCTCCCTTGGGTCAGGTCTCTGGTATCTATTTTTGTGGTCACCACTGTTTGGAGTCATAAAAGCTGAGGGAGGGAACCCTGTTAGTATCTCGAGGAGAGGAGCAGTTTCTTTCCAAGTCTGTCAGCTGTCAGTCTGTCAACACCTAATCGTTCATTTCCTAAACAGAAGTACTGCATCCCATTGGCTGTGATACTCTTGATAGTGATCGTTTTTACTGCAGGTAAACCACATTGTGTGTGTGACAGCTGAGTTGGCTTAAAAATGTCTTGATACTGTAAAGGCAACACATCATGGAATCACAGAATGGTTTGGGTTGGAAGGGGCATTAAAGATCATTCCCTTCCACCCCCTGACATGGGCAGGGACACCTTCCACTATCCCAGGTTGCTCCAAGCCCTGTCCAGCCTGGCCTTGAACACTTCCAGGGATGGGGCAGCCACAGCTTCTCTGGGCAACCTGTGCCAGGGCCTCCCCACCCTCACAGTAATATGAAAACCCAGAGGTGAAAATCCACTGGGAGGGAACATTACCCTGCCTGTCTCTAACTGCTGAGAATTCCAGACCCCTTTTTGACTCTTTTCTCCTGAAGATCTGTGTTCGTGGTCTATATCTGATCTGAGCCACTGTCCCCCGGCAGCTGAGCCGAGCACACGGAGCGGTGCCAGCAGGGGCAGCTGGGGCTGGATTGTTTTACAGGAAGCCAGTGAACCTGTTGGTCACGTTCCTCTGCCGAGGGCAGGCTTTGGAAATGGAGGGTGAATCAGCGTCACCTATGTCCTGATCCCGCAGCAACACTGATTTGCTTTCTTTAAACGTACAAGAAAGGTCCATTCTTGTTTGTTTTTTTTTTGCTAATGATAACCATTTACTCCCGATCTTTGAATCCTCCCGACTCTGAGGCATTTTCCGAAATTTGGTAATTCATCCCAAATCTCCCATTAACAACAGCAAACCTGAACTTCCTGTGGGTTATAAATCACCTGGCAACACCTCATCCAGCTGCAGGCCTTGGCTGGTGGAGCCACTGCCCAAATCCTGCAGCAAACAGCCAGGATGGCAGCCACGGAACTGACCAACACCGTGGAGCTGGTGGCTCCATCCCTCTTCCCTCCCCAGTGACTGAAGGAGAAGTCAGACTGCTCATGAACCCTCCCTCCCCATATACACACGATGTGTCTGTACACCCCGTTCCCCACGGATGTTTCCAGGGAAGCACAGGTTTGCCATGCTCACGGGTTGCCTGGTCTCCTGCCCCAGCCCTCCCGGTCCCTTCCAGTGCTGCTCAGACCTGTTCAGCGTCTCGTTCAGGGAGCGGAGGGAGATGCTGCCTTTAGCCATCTTCCTGGAGAACACCAAGAGGAGAAATAAAAGCTGGAGTGGGCTTGCTCCTCTCTCCTGAAGCCGGCAGCAACAGCAGGGACAGGGGATCCGGGTCCTGCAGGAGGTTGTTTGCTCCAAGGCTTTTTATAGCCCGTATATCCAAATATAGGTCATGGATGCACCAGCACACGGTCATGGATATATCACACACTGAACCACGCACCTGAACCCCTTCCTCTGCCCCACTGCCCCCATGTCTGCACACATAAACTAATTCAGAGGTGACACACAAGGAGGAAATTACACTGTTCTGTTTTTTATTTTGTGCTGTGTTTTGGCTTCATTTTGCTGTGGTGCCCACCAGCTCATGTCCTGGGCCAAAGTCTCCTGCTGGGGAAGGCTGCACAAGCAGATTGCCTTTGGTTTATTTAATTAAAAACGATATGATGGTAAAATCAGATTTGGATGAGAATGACTTGTGTTTGTTTGCAGGGAGCTGCTTTGAGCTAAACCAAGACAGTTGGAATCTCTTCTATAAAGGATGGAGAGCCAGCACTGCCAGCTAATAATTATCAGGAGCTGGGTATGCAAGAAAAAGACATGGAAATTTTTCCATAATAATAATATGGGGGTGGTAACAGCCCAGCTGGTGAAAAAGGCAGCACAAACTCCCCATCAATCCAGCAGGTCCTCAGCCAG